TGTTCACTATAGGTGGTGGTGGTAGCCATGTTGGATGATGTTCACTATAGGTGGTGGTGGTAGCCATGTTGGATGGTGTTCACTATAGGTGGGTTATAATCATTCCTAATAAGGGAATAACAGTGGCGGACATGTTGAATGATGTTCGCTATAGGTGGTTTGTAATCATTCCTAAGGGAAGAAAGAGGCAGCCATGTTGGATGGTGTTCACTATAGGTAGTTTGTAATCATTCCTAAGGGAAGAAAGTGATAGCCATGTTGGATGATGTTCACTATAGGTGGTTTGTAATCATTCCTAAGAGAATAAAAGTGGCGGCCATGTTGGATGATGTTCACTATAGGTGGTTTGTAATCATCCCTAAGGGAATAAAAGTGGCAGCCATGTTGGGTGATGGGTCATTCCTAAATAAACAAAACAAGTTCATCTCCGTTTATTCGTGTGTTATGATTCAGTGTCTAATTAACGAAAACATCGTCCTTCAAATTGTTTTCCATTTGTCCCACACTTTGAGAACAGGAAACCCAAAAAATAATTTGTCTTGTCTTGCATGTTTCCTACCGGCCAGTCCTTTCCTTTACTGATAAGTCCTTGCGACTCCGAGCTTTATTAGCTGTAGTTTTTGCTGATTTTGTCGAGTTTTATAAGTATTTCTTTTCAAACTTCTAACTACTGAGCGCTGCATAGTAAATAGAACTATAAAAATTTGTGCCAAAATGTGTTTTATATTTTTAATGATTTTTGCATCATCATCATCGTCATCATCATCATCATCATCATCATCGATATCGTTAGCATCAGCATAAAATCATCAACGTTATGTTATTAGTATTTATCATTATTTATAATTATCTAATCATTATCTTTGGCATTTTTTAATATCTAGGTCATCATCTTGAAATCAATTACTTTTACTTAAGTCTCTTTTTTTTTTCTGCTTCCGTTACTCGCCGTTTAGTTTTGGAAAAGGAAAATGAAATAATATAAGCAGCTGACAATCTTTCCGTAAATAATAGGCCAAACCTCATTAAATATAATAAATATAGCAGAAAACCAGACATGATATAAATTAATTGACCAAAATTTATCTCAGTTCCATTTAAAATTGGTTTTTAAGATTAATTTTACAAATATAAAATCACGAAGTAGTTTTTTTCTTAATATTCAGGGATGATTCAATGTGAAGATCTTTTTGTTCGTAAGACTAAAGCTTTCATCATCATTTACCATTTCTTTTGAATATTCTAAATCAACAATAAAAACATTATTGTCAAACCTCCAGTTTAGCAGAAATGTATGTTTGTATTTTAGTTTTTAATTTATTTTGAGTAAAATGTTTGTTGCTGGAATTATCTAAAATGGAAAAACGATTCGAGTTGCGTGAAAATTTAGAGTCTAAATGTTCGTTCATAACTTTAAATTATCCACCGTGACCAATCCTTATCGTTATTTTGGCTCAAACCTTTTACCGGACTTTTTCATAATATTATCTTTGAGTAAAATGTCAATTTAGATGGGTTCACAAATATGGAAACGTCTTGAATTGCGTCAAAGTTAGGGTTAAAATTAATAATTCAAAACTCGAAATATAAATAAATAAATTTAAAAGTGTAATCTTAACCTCATCATTTTTAAAATACTTTTTTTCAGTTAAATAATTTTATTTTTTAAAGAAATGTTTGTTGATGTGAAACAAAAATTTTAACAAGTGCAACTGTATT